GGGATCCTTTAGGGATCCTTCAAAGGGATACTTTAGAATACCTTAAGAGTTCCTGCTTTAAGGGTAGCTATAAGGGTATGACTCATTATAAGGGAAGTATAAGGCCGCTATAAGGGAACCCATAAGGGGCTCAGGGACCGTGGGGGTGTTTGAGGTGTCTGCGCTTTCAGGGTGGGGGCGGCTCGAGGCTCGGGGGGGTCTTGGGTTTGAAGAGGGGTCTTCCGCTTTTAGGGTTTAGGGTTTAGGGTTTAGGGTTTAGGGGTTTAGGGTTTAGGGTTTAGGGTTTAGGGTTCCTTTGGGGTTGCTGTAAAAGTTCCTTTAAGGGATCCCTTAAGTTTGGGGGACGCTTCAAAGGGATCCTTCAAGGGTTCCTTCAAGGGTTCCGTTTAGGGATCCTTTTATGGGGATCGTTTAGGGGTTCCTTTTAGGGATTCTCCATTTAAGGGATCCTTTAATCCGAGGATGGTTTAGGGATCCTTTTATAGGGATCCTCCATTAAAGGATCCTTTAAAGGGGTTCCGTTCAGGGATCCTTTAAAGGGGTACTTTACGGGTTCCTCGTTGATTTAAAGGTTCCCTTAAGGGCTGAGGCCTCAGCCCTAAAACCCTATGGGGATTGCATGGGGATCTAAAGAGTACGTTGCAAGAAGAAGGTGAAGGTAGGATCGGTGCGCTGGGCATCCCTGTACGCCGTGAGTCGAGCTGCACGCGGAGCGCCCGTGTTGCGGGTTTGGGATGCAGGGCCTACGGTTGCAGACTGTCGGGGTTCAGTATGTTGAGGGTTTAAGCGGTGGAGGTACTGTAGCTGCTAGATGGCTGGATGAGTACAGATGTAGCATACCCTAAGCCCCAGCCCTAAACCCTAAACCCTAAGCCCCAGACCGCGCATACTCAATGTCTGTGCGATCTGGTTTCTCAACCCGAAGGCCCCCGGCCGGGAATCTAACACCGTACTTAAAGGATCATGGGGCTTAGTAACTGGGGTTACAAGTAAGGCAACTATACTTACAACCACTTATAAGCCCACTTAAGGTACTTATAACCTGACTTACTAAGTCCCATGATCCTCCAAGTACCAGAGCAGAAAGGTGTCGTGGTCTCAGTGGTTTAGGGTTTAGGGTTTAGGGATTAGGATTTTAATTGGTTTAGGGTTTATGGTTTAGGGCCTAACAGCCCCAAAACTAAAGAAGGAGCCTCAATTCATAGATGCTCTTCCTGTCTTGCAAGTCGTACTGTCTTAAACAAATGTGGTGCTTCCATAAACCCCCATAGCCGCAATCTCGCTCCTGAAAGCCCTACGCCTTTTCTAGCCTTTCGCGAACGATCTTTTGTGCAACTGTGTGACATCCTTTTAATATAGCAGCCTAACTGACTACTAACAGTATTCCTTACGGTTCATCACTATACAGCTGTATACCATATTATCCCAAAACCCTTGTTCTAGTTTCTTCAGGCCCCTATGCTTCCTAATCTTGTTTCTTGGGATTCCTTTTTGTATAGCTACCCTAAGCCTTCCGAAGTCGGGCTCAAACCCTAAACAGGGTTTAGGGTTTAGGGTTTGGGGTTTAGGGTTTAGGATTTAGGGTTTGGGGTTTAGGGTTTCGGGTTTAAGCTCTCCCTGGTCCTTGAGGGAGCACCTGGTCCTTGAGGGAGGGTGGTTCAAGGTGGGGAGGGATCCTTACCCCCATGGAGAACTAGGGATGGGTAGGTTATCTACCCTTCTCGGAGCCCCCCCTCCCCCGATAAGGATACTATAAAGTAACACTAGAGAAGTTACCTATTCAGGGTTTCAACAGGTCCGCAAAATAGTAGGTTTCTTAGGGTTCAGCTAGACCCCAAACCCTGATCCAAAACCGTCAAACCAACAGCCAAGCCGAACACCCCAAACGCGCAGCTTCAGCTTCGATGTGACTATTGAAACGGTCATGGGACTTAACAACTAGGGTTATAATGAAGGTAACTCTACTTGTAATTACATATAACCCCAAGTAAGGTACTTCTAACCGTACTTACTAAGTCCCATAAGCCTCCAAGTACCGAGGATGATGGCAGTCATGCTCTTCCGGTGCCTCGTACTTCGGGTTTAGGTTTTAGGGGTTGGGGGTTGAGGGTTCAGGGTTTAGGGTTTAGGGTTCAGGGTTGAGGGTTCAGGGTTTAGGGTTCAGGGTTTAGAGTTCAGGGGTTAGGGTTTAGGGTTTAGGGTTGAGGGTTGGGGTTTCGAGGTTGAGGTTTAATGTATAGGGGCTTGAATAATTACCAATACTATTTTGGGGTTCCTTATTATAGTTCAAGTATATTGGGCCCCCAAAAACCCTATTCTAAAATTAAGGCTCCTATATTAGGTTTTAGGGTTCAGAGTGTGGGGAGTCTAGAACAGAGAAGTCCGGTCACGGCACTTACGTTGGTCGGAGCTTCTCACAGGGACGACCGACATGCTAGACCAGAGACCCTCAACACTGAACCCTGCATCCTTCTTTTTGAAAAAGCCAAAAAAGAACCCTGCATCCTAGACCTCCTATTCCTATAAGGGCTCTTCGTAGAAAGGTTCTACAGAGGCTTTGGGTTCAGACCCCCCTAAATGTAGAGTTGACACGTCATTGATTAGGGTTGTGAAGCCCGTGCCTTCGTCGTCTGCAGCTCGATTGAATGTGCCGCAAGCTGGACTTTGGTGTTCATCCTAGGGGCTTAGGCCTCTGATGTGAGAGGGGTTTGCGCTTCAGGGTTTGCAGGGCTCGTCTAATGGTTACCGTCGAGGTTGGTACATTTCGGTGCGCAGACACCTAAGACGAAAATGTCCTCGACAACGTGTGCAGACTGGTTCTTAGAGACCTTGAAGACCGGCTAAGACTCTGTCAAAAGCCTACCCGAACCCCCGAATCCTAAACTGTCCAAAAACTGCGGTCCAAAACTGCGGATAGCGCCGGACACGACAGTGAGGTTTGGTACCTGCTCCTTAGCCGAACCGTCATGAAAATATCAGTCTTTGCTTCTTTGTCCCTGAGAGGCCTGATACAACAGAAATGTAGATATGAGCACCAGTTTACAATGATCTGCATCTGCATATACACCGAAACCGAGGAGCCTGACGTTCGTTTCCCCGGCGCCAGCATTCCGCACGCAGCGAGTGGTGGCTGTCCTGCGACAGGCGCGCCAAGACCCCAAGACCCCCAAACCCTAAGCCCTAAACCCTAAACTCGAAAAAACCCCAAAACCCTAAACCCATAAGCCTCAAACCCCTAAGCCCTAAGCCCTCATCCCAAAGCAAGGGGAGTGTAGGGCTTTGGGGATGGTGAGGGCGAGCAGTGCGGATCCCGGTGTTGTAATCTGGGGGCCTGAGCAACTACTATAGGGTTTCAGGGTTCCTTTAAAGGGCTCTATAAAGGCTACTACTATTTTGGGGATTCCTTATTAGAACTATAGTACAATGGGCCCCAAAACCCTATTCTAATCATCAAGGCCCCAAGATCAGAAATAGAAATATAATCAACTCACAGTTCTCCTGCGGGCTATATAATCGTAGCAGAATATTCTCCAAAACTCCATTCTCATTATTGAGGCTCCAACATGAGAAGAAGGATCCGTAATTTCGGAAACTGGCGGGGGCAGTTTTGGAAGCTCGGGGTGATAGTTGGGCTCTGGGTTTTCAGAGGTCGGTTCCCTGGGGCGTCTGTGCTTGTGGGGGCTTGGGGTTCAGTCTTGGGATGTTGACCCTTCTTGGAGACAAGTTTCGGGATAGGTATATGGGCGTTTCCGAAAATTAGAGTACCTTATTTTGGGGCCCTTATAAGAAGGATCCTACTGTGCAGGGTACTACATGATGGTCCCCCTACTAGCCGTGGCCCAACGACTGCTCCCATTGACCACCCGCCCCCTCGTTTCAGCCTGTGCACCCTTCAGCGTGCCCTTCAAACCCTTAAGAAGCAGGTTCTACAATCTAGATCCTTTATAGAGCCCTATAGAAATAGCAATTATACCCTAAACCCTAAACCCTAAACCCTGAACCTTTGTAGAGTAGAGCCCTATAGAAATAGCCATTATAGAACCTCACAGTCGAACTTTTGCAGAGCCCTTACATAAACAACCCTTCTAGAACCTTCTAATAGAACCTTGATACAGCCCTTATACAGTAGAACCTCATAGAATCTTTATAAAGCCCATACAAGGCCATATACGAAACCCTTAAAGCACCTCAAAAGACCAACGTGTGAGATGGCTTGAAGCCCTTGGATGCGAAAGCCCTATAGGATGGGGGCCGTAATCATTCCCTATATGATTTTGGGGGTTCCTTATTATAATTACAGTATAGTCCACCCCAAAACGCTATTGTAATTAATAAGGCCTCTATGTTATAGAACCTTACTATGGATCCCTTATAGACCCCTTCTAGATCCCTCTAAAGGGACCCTATATATTGTAAATTATTAAGGCCCCTATGTTATGCCCCATGTCTCGCTCTCGACTCTCAAGCAAGCCCAATACACCAAAAGCCCAAAGCCTCAAACCGAAAGACGCCTGCTTCGTAGGCGGAGGCCACGGCGGAGACTGCGGGAAAGGCGACCGGGACAGAAAGGGGAAGGTAAGTCTTAAGTGCCAGCTTCCAAGCTTTGGCCCAGAGCTCAAATCCCGCAGCGCTTATAGAATCATAATTCGGGACTATTCCTGCATGAAGATGTTTAAGGTGTTTGGGGATCTTTGGGTATCTTACGACCTACACTATTCCGCTAAAGAACGGGGTTGTGCAGTGCTTCCAATCTGAAAGTGGCCAGAAAAGCCTTAACCCCAAAGCTTTAAAGCCCTGAAACGGAGCAGCCGGACCATGGCAGCACCACTGGGACTGTGGCAGTTTTTCTCAAAGTTATCTCGAAACCGGAGGATGCTACTCACCGAAGCTATCGTAGCGACATGGCATGTACCATGTTGAAGCGTATCGTGTTTACTCATATCTACTACGGGTCTTGACAGCGCAAGCCGTCGATTTGCCGCGAGACGCAAATCGTCACCATGGGGAAGGCTGCGGTCAAGCAGGCATGTGCTAAGTCCGTCAAGAAGTTCCACGTCAAGACCAAGAAGACGGGAAACAACGACACTACGACGATTACCGATGAGGCGGAATGGTACATTGCTGAGAACAACATCACTTCGCTTCGACGCATGGTGAAGGGCTTCAGCGGACGGCGTGACTTGTCTTGCCTTGACCTTTTCGGCGCATCGGGGGCAATCAAGAATGCCTGGAGTCGAAACAAGAAGAAGGCTGAGCTGTCTCTTGGCAAGGTTTTGGCGTGTTTTTGCAACTCCCTAAACCCTAAACCCTTGTTTGTCCGTGACTTTGGCACGGACTGGCCTCTTCAACATCCCTCCCGTTGTCCCTCGCTTCCCCCCTACGCTGCCGGGCCTTTTGATGTTATGGGGTTGGGGGTTACACGGTTCAGTTGTTAGGGACCCCAAATGGATATAAGCAGAAACATTTTATAGAATTGTTGGGCTTCGTTATAAAGGGGGTGTATATAGGATATCCCTATCCAACTTTTTGCTTATGTGCTTGTCTGGGGCCCTATTGAGGGCTTTGAGGTGTGGGATGTAGGGTCTTGCGGCTGTCTTTCGAGTCGGCTCTCAGTGGCTGCAATGATGTTTGTTTCCCAGAGAGCCCAAGACTCCTTAATTAAGGGTTATAGCTTAAATCATAATGCGGCTGATGGACAAAATCCTGCATGGCCCTAAGGGCTGTAAACTATGGGAATTCTGGTATATTCCTTATAATGGGTCATGCAGAATTTTGTCCATCAGCAGTATGAATCCCCTATAATTTAAGGTATATCCCTTCATTAAGGGGTATTGGGCTCTCTGGGTTCGAGGGTTGTTACTTCATGGGTAGTTCTCTAAATTAAGGTCCCCTTTTAGGGACTAGAAAGGGGCCCTACTTCAGAGAACTACTCTCATATCTCATGATGCATGTCTAGGCCTAGGCCTTATCTAGCTGATTGGAGCCTCAGTGGGGCTCGGGACATAAAACCCCCAGTCCTGAAACCGAAACCCTAGACCTTAAGCCAAAAGTCGAGGACAACAAAGCATCCTAAGCCCTAACAGACGGCATGCGTCCCTGACTTTTGAAACCTAAGCGCCGATTTTTCAATGTCCGAGATCGCATCCACCCTGTCGCACACATGTGACCACAGAGTGGAGGAGTTCAAACCGGAAGCCTAAGCAATTGCCAATGTTATTCCTTAATTAGGGCTGTTGTTTAAAATTATACATACCTATAGTCTCCATTGTAGTTCTTTTTGGGGGTTACCTTATGGGATCCTTAATATATAATTGGTTAAACCAAAAAAAGGAACTACAATGGAGACTATAGGAACTATGAAGGAGGTCAAGGCCCCCACATAAGGTTTCAGGCCTTCGGGTAGGGTTTGAGGTTCCGCGCTTTCTTCGACCAGAGCTGTGTTTTCGGACTTCTGACGCCAACGATTCCGTTTTAGGGTTTATAGGGTTTGGGTTTAGGGTTTATGCTTCACTTGCAACATGCTCCCTGCGACTGTTTCAGAATGGTTCCGTCAAGGGTCATGTGCACTAATCGCGAAGCCGAGGTATGACATCAAAACGAATGGGCCACAGCACGACATCTGCAGCGAGGGCGGTTTCGAGAACCTCTTGCAGTTGGGCTTGAGGGTCAAGCCTGGTGGGGTGATTGTGGCAGGACCTCATAGGAAGCCAAACGGGGTTTTCGCCTATGGGGGTTTAGTAGGGATTAGGATTTTCATAATAGGGTTCATATTAAGGAATCCCTACCCCAAGAATCTTAAACCCCCCTTTTGGCCTCCCATCAGGACCCCCATGCTCGCTGTTTATCTTCCTGTCGAGCTCGATTCACCGGAGAAGCCCTCACAGGCCGTGGGGGAACCAGGAGTACCGCTCCGTACGGCTTTCGAATTGCATCGTCAGGAACATGACCACCTTCCTGCAGCTCATGTCAGAGCGGCAGGTTCACTGGGTGATCGAGCAGCCCTCCGGCAGTCAGATGTTCAGGCTCCCACCGCTGCGGCGCCTCATGCGTGAAGTCGATGCAGTGCAGGTCACAACCTACATGGGATGCTTTTCGCACAAGATGAAGAAGCGGACAGTCCTTGTAGGTACCTTGCCTTCGCTGCCGCGGATGGAACGATCCCTACGCCCTCAAGATCGCAAGCGCTTTGACAAGAACAGGAAGAAGTTCTACATCCGCTGCGAAGGCAAGGTCCATGGAACCAAGGCGTTGCAGTCGAGCGCAGATTACACGCCCAAGTTCTGTGAAGCCCTCTATACCTGTTGGAAGCAGAAGTGAGAGTGCTCCAAGCACTCCCGAAGTGTTTTTTCTATGTGAACACGTGCCGGCAGCACGTGCCAAGCTGGCTGAAGCCAAGCTAGGGGTTGTAGTTTTGCAGTGGAGCGCGGGTCTCATAACCAGCTATGGACCCAGCAGGGACACTGCCGTAGCCGCGCCGTAGCCTGTCGTTGAGCCGGCCTCCGAAAAATCGTACGCCGTATGCCTTGAGCCTCAAGTGCATGATGATTTGAGAGTGTTGCAGCCCTTGGTACCTTTACTTTGTCATAGTTGGGTAACAAACAGTTTACATCTTCATGGGTACTTAAACTCAATAAGGACTGGAAATTCATGTTTCAGTAGTATCCCAACCATCCTAAACCCTAAACCCTAAACCCTAAACCCCTAAACCCCTAAACCCCTAAACCCCTAAACCCCTAAACCCCTAAACCCTAAACCCTCAACCCAACCAAGAGCCAGATTACACCAGGTGGCGGAGGTTATCGCTGAGCAGCTCGGCGTGGACAAGGAGAAGGTCACCCGTGAGGCCTTCTTCTAAAGGGGTCTATAATAGGGTTACTATAGTTATAGGGGTTCCCTAAACCCTAAACCCTAAACCCTAAACCCTAAACCCCTAAACCCCTAAACCCCTAAACCCCTAAACCCCAAACCCTAAAAGGGTTACTATAGGGGTTACTACAAGGCTTTAGTGCAGGGGCCTGAAAGAATAGGGGTAGATAATACTCCTCTGGGTCCTGAGGTCCCAGCAAGGCGTGGAGGTACGCAGGGTTCTTTTAAAGGGGTATATACTATAAGGGTTCCTTAAAAGGGCTCTATAAGGGTTCTCTAGGATTGTAGGGTTCCTTTACAGGGATCTATATGGGTTCGATAAGAGATCAATATAGGAGGTTTAGGGTTTTAGGATTTAGGAGGTTTAGGGTTTAAGGATTTAGGGGTTTTAGGGCTTGAGGGTTTAAGGATTAAGGGCTTTTAGGGTTCAAGGATTTAGGGGTTTAGGGTGTGGGGTTTAAGGGTTTAGGGGTTAAGGGGTTTAGTGTAAGATTTAGGTTCGTCCGAAACGCTGGATTTTTATCAAGGCTCCACAGGGTTTCATGAAGAGTTTGGCTGCCACAGAAGCATTCTGTTGTTTTCTGGAGGTGGCACGGTTTAATGGTTCTTATTTCACGGATTAAGGTTGTACAGATCTCTAGGCCCCTAAAGTTCTATACCCTAGACCCTACTTCTTGAGCCCTAAAATCCAAATCAAGGGCAACCTAAACCACCAAACGCAAATTTTTGAGCCTTAAATTCAATGTGCTTGTTGCGCAAACATAGTTCGGGCGACACAGGTAGCGGCAGCCTCGTGTGCCAAAACCACCTTGTGCGGCAGTGTTCGCGGGTAGTAAACTGCCGTGTTTTGCAAGTCTAAAGCGTTTGGGGTAGTTAACGTTCGTGTTTCACAGCTTTCAAGCTTTTGGGATAGTAAACAAGTTTGAAGCTTTCCGGGTAGTAAGCTGTCGGGTTTTACGTGTTCAAAGGCCTTTGGGTAGTTAGCTTTAGGGTCTTACAGATTCCCTCCTTGCGCATTGTTAGTTCGGGGTTCGTACACGACAACATATAATGTAGGGGCCTTAATGATTGGAATAGGGTCTTGGGCTAAAATACACCAGAGTTATAACAAGGAACCACCAAAACTAGTATAGGTAATTATTTAGGCCCTCATATTATAGACCCCAATTATAGATCCCTTCTAGAACCCTTGAAAGAACTCTTAAAGGAACCATTAAGGCCTTGTTTTAGCATGCGTTGCAAGGACTTTAGCGCTAGGCAGGGCCGCCTGAGAGCCGAATCCCCAACGACAACGGACCAAAAAGCCTCTCCCTTCACAACACCTGGGTTTCGGGTTTAGGGTCTAGGGTTTAGGGTTTAGGGTTTAGGGTTTAGGGTTTAGGGTTTAGGGTTTAGGGTAATGTAGGAATCCGGGCCCTAGAACCCCTTAAATAGTAGGGTTCATACCCTAACAGAGGCCCAAGGTTTCTCAATCAGGTTCCTTGCAAAAGCCGTGGTTTCCGAAATCAGACAGAAACCATAAGCAACGTCAAAGCATTTTATACAGACCTTATGACGGCCTAGAGAAGCCCTACAGCAGAAGCCCCAAAGTTGGAAACGCAATAGCCTGCATCCTCAAGAAGAATGTACAAGGAATCCCAGCACTAATTGTCCTTAATCAGATTTTTTGGGGGGTTTACTATGAATGAACGAATTTTTTTGGGTTTTAGATAATTGTCCGTAATCCAAGGACTCCAACCCATAAGCAACGTCAGAGCATTTTTATACAAGCCTTATAACGGCATAGGGCCTATAGAAGTGAAATCCCAAAGGACTCCAAGCCTCTAAGCGCGCCTTTAGGCGACGTTGTCGGAGCTTGGCGCCGACTCGCTGGACATCGTCGAGTCCGTGTGGCCAAGCTCAATTACTATAAAGGGCTTTGGGACATTTTATGTTTGCTCTTATTGGGCTTAAGAGGATCTTATCTACTAATATTTTTCAAAGGCTTTAAAAGCACCTCCTAGATTACTATAAAGGGCCTCAGTTGTTGGAATAGGGTTCCTCTTAGGGTTCTTTAAAGGTCCATAATATAGGGGCCTACATAATTACCTTTACTATTGTTTATCTCGGTTATAGGATAACGGGCCCCAAACCCGTACTCTAATTATTCAGGCACTTTTTTTAGGTCCTTTGGGGTGTGGGGGTTTGTGGAGGGCTCAGGGTTCAGGGACGGCTCGGGGGCCAAGGCTTCTGGGATCAAGGGGATACGCTGAAAGATTCAAAGTTTGAGTTTTTGGGGTTTAGGGGTTTAGGGTTTAGGGGGTCAGGGCTTAGGGTTTCGGGTTGACAATTCAGCCGTGTAGGCTTCAGTCCTGCATCTAGTGTGGAGCATCGGGTAGTGTTCCCGAAGCGCATGTTTCCTCCGTGATCCTTGTGGAAGCCGCATGAAGAACAGGACTAAACCCTAAGCCCAAGCCTCAACCCTAAACTCTCAACCCCACTTACTTTCCTCCGAACCGGAATGTCTGTGCACACCGTCCTGCAATTCTACGCTAGCTGACAGAAACAGTTCGACACCTAACCCTAAGCCCTCAACGCCACATCCTACTGCAGGGGCCTCAATAATTACGTTCCTCAGTGTCATTATACTGTAACGGGCCCCAAGACCCCTTTCTAGTTGTTAAGGACCCTACATTTTATAGTACCCTTATAGACCCTTCAAATGGAACCTTATTTTGATTATGAAGGCCCCTACAGTAACCCGAGAACTCTTGGAGAAGCCCCGAACGTCCTTAAGTGCTTGTCCCGTCGAACGAGAGGATTTCTTCCTTGAAGGTATCCTTCCAAAATCCCTTAAGTAAGGAAGATCCTTTAGACTAGAGTTTACGGTTTAGGGTCTAGAGTAGGAGCTCGTATATGGTTCAAGGCCTACCACTGCTTCATTAACGGCTTTTTGGAATCTCTGGGAACTTTGAAAGCATCGGACCCTAAATCCTGAACCCTGAAGCCTAAACCTTAAACTCTAAACCCTAAACCCTGAACCCTAAAGCTTAAAGCCTAAACCCAAAACCCTATAGATTCCTTAAAGGAACCCTTATAGATCCCTTTAAAGGAACCCCTAGAGATCCCTTTAAAGGAACCCTAGAGAAATTTAGGGAACCCTAGAGATCCCTTTTAAAGGAGCCCTAGAGAACCCTAGAGATCTCTAGAGATCCCTTTAAAAGGAGCCCTAGAGATCCCTTTTAAAGGAGCCCTAGAGAACCCTAGAGAACCCTAGAGATCCCTTTAAAAGGAATCCCTTTAAAGGAGCCCCAGGGAACCCAAGGAATATTCTTTAAAAGGAACCCCAGGGAACCCTAAAGTCGGTGGTCCCGGCGAGGATGGCCTTGGAGGAGGCCTTCGACATTGAGCTCCCCGACGAGGCCCTCGGCTCGGGGCTCATAGGCGTTGGGGGTTCCTTTAAAGGGGTGCTACGAGGGTTCCTTTAAAGGGGATCCATAGGGGTTCCCTTTAAAGGGGTGCTATAAGGGTCTCCTTTAAAGGGATCTCTAGGGGTTCCTTTCAAGGGATCTCTAGGGGTTCCTTTAAAGGGTTATTATGAGGGTCTCCTTTAAAGGGTTGTTACTATGAGGGTCTCCTCTAAAGGGGTATTATAAGGGTTCCTTTAAAGGGGTACTATAAGGGTTCCTTTAAATGGATCTGCAGGGTTTAGGGGTTCTTTAAAGTTCCGTTAAAAGGGTACTATAAAGGTTAATATCTCCACGGTTCCTTTAAAGCGATCTAGAAGGGTTCCTGTAAGGGGATCTATAAGGGTTCCTTTACAGGGGATCTGTAGGGTTTAGGTTTAGGGGGTTTGGTTCAGGGGTTAGGGGTTACAGGTGTAGGGTTTGGGGGTTCAGAAGATTTGTTTTGTTTGTCAGCTTTTGTGTTCAAGGGTGTCTTTTTGTTTGGTGTTGTGTTGTTTGTGTGTGTGTGTGTGTGTTTTTGTTTTTTTGTGGGGGGTGTTGGTTTGTTTATAGGGGTTTTATTTACAAGATGCTGTTCCTAGCTGAAACAGGGGCGTCCCATAACCCCTCACCATTTGCCGCTCGCGAGCCTCGGAACCCACTTCTCCCTCCCCCCCCCCCCTCAGCGCCCCCTCCGTGCCTCGGCACCTCCAAACCTCGAACCCCCCTGCCCACCCTGCTCGGCACTATAGGGGCCTCGATAAAGGCCCCTATAATAGGTGACCGCTGGAATCTCCAAACCTCGGAACCCGGGGAGGGTTCTGGTGCGGGTTTGGGCAGGGGTGGAGCATTTACCGTTTCAGGGATCCTTCACCTAAACTCTAAACCCCCGCAAGAAGCCCTAAAGCCCTATGTACTCAATCATTCTCAGCATTAACAATGGGTCTTGTTTGCACGGTAGTTATGGCAAGTGGCCTGGCTCCTAAACCGTAGCTTCAGCTCCGCTTTCGGTCTTTGCGAACTCCG